TGGCTTGAAACAACTATTTTATTTACTCATAATTCTGTGAGTTAGCTATGGCTCAGCTGGGAGGTTCTTCTGCTGTTCTTGCTTGGGGTCTGTGAGGGCACGTGGAGCTGAAACATCCAGGATTGCCCTCCTCATGTGACTGGTGCTTCAGCAAGCATGGCTGGGAGCTGTGACCTCTCCCCACATGGCAGATGGAGAACACTCAGAAGGTAGCATTCCAGGAGGGCATCTGTCACACTCGGCAACATCTTATTGTGAAACCCAGTCACCGTGGGAGGGGCCCAACCTAGAGGCAAGTGCTGGGAGGTGCAGTTCATTGGGGGCACTACAGTAACAGCCTTTCCTTTGACAGTTACTTTCTGGAGAAATTGAGTAGACAGGTTTTGGACTTTGGGATACCAGGCACCCCTGAGGGAAAGCATGAGACACCATAATGAAAATTGGGGACTGAGTGATTCCCCCTTCCCTTTCTGGTACCTGACTGACAAATAGGTTTATATTCCAAAGATAGAAGTGTGGAAGATTTCTTAACGAGGAAGTGGTTACTGTAAAGAAGAAACATTTGAGGCCGGGCGCGGTGGCGCAAGCCTAATCCCAGCCCTTTGGGAGGCCGAGACGGGTGGATCACAAGGTCAGGAGATCGAGACCATCCTGGCTAACCCGGTGAAACCCCGTCTCTAATACAAAATACAAAAAAAAAAAAAAATTAGCCAGGCGAGGTGGCGGGCGCCTGTAGTCCCAGCTACTCCGGAGGCTGAGGCAGGAGAATGGCGTAAACTCGGGAGGCGGAGCTTGCAGTGAGCTGAGATCCGGCCACTGCACTCCAGCCTGGGCAACAGAGCGAGACTCCGTCTCAAAAAAAAAAAAAAAAAAGAAACATTTGAGGGACGAGATGATCTTTTAAAAATTATAACCAGGTGGCTCAAGCCTGTAATCCCAGCACTTTGGGAGGCCGAGACGGGCGGATCATGAGGTCAGGAGATTGAGACCATCCTGGCTAACATGGTGAAACCCCGTCTCTACTAAAAAAAAAAAAAAAAAAAAAAATTATAACCATGATAATAGAAATGAAAAACTCAATAGACGGTTTGGAAGACAGCGCTGGAAATCTTCCAGAAAGTAGAACAAAAAGATGAAGAAATGGTGAACAGGAGACAAAAGAAATTAGGGGACCAGTACAGGAAATTCAGTAACCAGCTATTAGGAAATGTGTCCATAATACTCGCACCCTTTTCCAGATGTAGAAACTGAGGCTTTGATAGGTAAATGATTCATGTAGGGTCATGTGGTTGACCCTAGGGTGAAATTTAGAACCAGATCTCTCTGACTCCATTGAGCCATGTGCAAATGGAACAGGCAGTTAACACTGAGTATCATGTATGTTAGTAATCACACCTGTCTGGCATTTAGGGAATATCCAGTCTAAATGAACCCTCCATAAAAGATAAACCTGTAAGGTGAGTAATATGGCACAGAAACCTTTGAGTATGGAGAGGAGAGGTGAAGCAGAATAAGTCAAATTGCCTTTCTTTTACTTTACACTTACTAGCTAAGGTCCAAGTTGAGAAGGATGGGAAGTATTTAGAAGATGGAGAAATACTGGAAATGTTGTAGGGATGGGAAGTGATAGGAATTTGTCAGGGAACAAATAAGACCCTCATGAAGTAATAGGACACCAGTTGCTGTGTTTGACCGAGGCTCAGTCTCCATCATCATGTAACCCTTCAACCCCACCCCGCAGCCAGGAGCAGAGAACACAGCAGTGGCAAGAACCTAGTGTGTTGGTCAGAGACAGAAGGAGCAGGCCATGAAGTCCAGGGAGAATCCCGAGGGGTTTGGGTGGTATGCATTAGGTTAATTATCTTCTTACTCCTCCAACCTCCAAATCAAATCATAGCAAAAATTAGAGGCATTTTTGAAGTGATAAATCAAAAAACAAGATTGTAGAAAATTAAAAACGTACGAAATATAGAAATGACACCAACATTTAAGTGACTAAGATGACAGGGACTCTGGGTGCCTCACGTGTGTCATGTTAGCTTTTTCTACTGAATCTTCGGAGAGAAGTGCTGGCATTCTTGGGTCTAGAGAGAGGAAGTGGCACACGTGTCCTTTGCTGCCCGGTGAATATAGCAGGGCAAGAATTCAGACCCAGGCCAGCATGACTCCAAACCCCAAACCCAAATACATTCCACTGAGTCCTCTTCTCAGAGAAATTAGAGTGGTTATCATGTAAATTGCAGGAGGACAGGGGTCCTCATAACCGTTTGTTTACTGGGTATGTGAATGAGCCAGTTTATGGTAAACTAGTGGCCGGCTGGCCATGCATTCGGAAGGTTGCTCACTGAGCGTGTCCTGAAACTTGCCAGTGTCTGTGTGTGGCTCGCCACTTTGCAGGTTTGGAGTAGTATAATTTGGATTCTAGAGTGCTCTTACAGTTTGCAGAGTGTTTTACATGCGTTGGATACTGGAAGGTGGGTGATTATTATCCATTTTACAGTTAGGAGAAGCAATTCATGAGTTCAGTGGTGGAGTGGTAGCATTTTGTTCACCTACAGTTTGTGCTCTCTTAGAGTTGTTATTAATATATAACTTAATCTTTCTTTGTTTTTTAAGATACTGTATGCTCTCAAAATATTCTTGAATGGCCTTATGGATATGCTATATTACTGAAATTTGATTATTAATATTTTCTAATGGTTTATATAATTGGGAAAGTGAATAAAAATTTCTCATTAAAGCTGTAAATTAACACTTTGGAACGCCTGCCAGGAGACAACAAAGGGCGATGACAGCTTCTGCTGTGCCTCTATGCTTCCCAGCTTGCTGTGATGGTGACCTGGGGTTCTCATGATTTTTTATTTTTTATTGATTTATTTATTATTTATTTATTTATTTGAGATGGAATCTCGCTCTGTCACCCAGGCTAAAGTGCAATGGCATGATCTCGGCTCACTGCAACCTCCGCCTCCTGGGTTTAAGCAGTTCTCCTGCCTCAGCTGCCGAAGAAGCTGGGATTACAAGTGCCCGCCACCACGCCCAGCTAATTTTTCGTATTTTTAGTAGAGATAGGGTTTCACCATGTTCACCATGTTCACCAGGCTAGTCTTGAACTCCTGACCTCAAGTGATCCACCCACCTTGGCCTCTCAAAGTGCTGGGATTACAGGTATGAGCCTGGGATTACAGGTGTGAGCCACTGTGCCCAGCCGATTTTTTAAAAAAATATAAGATGCTACAGGTAGTCAAAAGAACAAAAAAACCTGGTTGATAGAGCTTGCTTTTACACAGAGAGTAAGGTGTAAGCTCTTAGTTTATTTTGCTGTTTAAACATGAGAGCAAAAAAATATATATATATATGTTTATATATGACAGCAAATATATATATATCACTCATATAGTATACATATTTACTCAGATATTAATAAATATGTGTATATATATAATTAATTTCTAAGACAAAGCATGAAAAAATATGCAGTAACCAGGCTGTAATGACCATTCTGATTAAATGGGACCCCATTTTAGAGTATTGGAAAACATTTAATAAGCGATCCCTAGAGGTTCAGTGTTCTGCATTGGAGACTAGCCCTAGGTTTAAAAACCTAGTGACATAGGCTTGCTGTACAGAACAGTATGCAGTGTGTCAGCTGACACCGGTGTTGGTTTCACGATCCGAAGGAAATGGAATATAATTGCCGTCCTTGTCACACCTTGAGCATTATGGTAAGCAGATGCTTTCTGGTGCAACTGTTTGTAGTTGAACAGTGTTTATGACTAATATCTGCCATGGTTTTTAAGAGTGTTTCTAAAGGAAAGGGCAACTCTTGTCTGGCCTATTTTTCTATCTTCCTATTAAAAACTGTGGTATGACGTGGACAGAATGTAACTCTAGATGTTTACAATTAACTGTTTTCATTGTAATCTGTTTCTTGCTACTCAAACTGTGCAACTGTGGGATTTCTTATGTAGGATATCTGTAATATTTGTGCTGAGTCATTTTGAGTTAAGTGAATGCGGTAAAGTTCTATTTTTAGCCCGTCAAGGCCTAGTGAGGGCACTGGCTTAGCAGAACTCTCCATCACGCGCATCTGTTTGGGTTATGCCCACCAATAAAGACTTGATTCCAGTTTAAATAGGACTTTGCTCACTGAGTAAATCTAAAGTTTTTGAGAAATAAGTTCACGTTTTTTGTCCACTGTAAAAAAATTTTTTTTCTTCCTGTGAGAAATTGAGACTCTTAAAAGTTAAAGTCTACATAGTGAAAGGTTATTTGCTTGTGCGTGTTTTCAACATTCATTTTTCTTTGAAGGTTGACTCTTATTTTTACCCTCCCAAATCCAGACTCTTCTATGTACTCTCCTTAAATTTTAAACTCCCAAGCTTTGTATAGAAGTCGATAATCTGATCCAGATGCTGAAAAGGAGACAAAGCTTTCACACTTGCAATATTGGCTTCGTTTTCTGGACCTTTGTTGTTGTTGTCGTTGTAATCATGAGTGTTCATGTTTCTTTAAAACAGAAAAAGAAAAAATCGCCTTGTTTTTTTCAGAGTGTGAGCTCCTAGAGAACTAAGATGAGGTTTTGTGATTTTCCTTCGTTTTAAGTCTAGTATAAGACCTTGCTCACATAAATATTGAATGCTCTTTTTGATGGTGACTGACTTTTGGTCATATGATGGACATTTAGGCCCTTAAATCTGCCCCATGAACAAGATGGACACACCTTTGGAAAAGCAGAAGCTATTCTGGGAGGTACATGAATATGTTCACGTTTTATCACTAAGTTTCATTTAGTATGCTTTATTAGTAATAAGCATGTATACTAATTTGTATCTACAAACCTGTAATTTTTAAACTGTAGTATTCACGTAAATATTGGTAATGTATTTATTTTGGAACATGGATGATTTGTAAAACCTATGTATTAAAACAAAAGTATACAAATACCTGATTTGTACATACCTGGCTGTAACCTCATGTGTCTTTTTGTTGTCATGCAGAGCTCTGGTATCGAGACTTTAGTGGAGGAGCTCTGCTCCAGACTGAAAGACCTTCAGAGTAAGCAAGGTGAGGTCAAAAGCGCTGTGCACACACATGCCAGGATTACATTCCTGAGGAATCTGGATTGGGGAAAATCTTAGAATTGATCAGAAAAGAAAACCAGAACAAAGTCTTTGTGTCCAGTGTGTGTCACTAGGCCAGCCTCATGCTCCATCTGCAGCAATGTTAGTGGCTTCTGTGTCAGTTCCAGCAGTCACTCAGAGAGAGTCCTGCAACCAAGGGAGGGACTTAGTCCACAGGCGCCCTCAGAGATAGGAAACACTTCATGTTTTCTGTTTTTTGGGTTTTTTGTTGTTGTTGTTGGCTTCAAGTTGAAGCTCAGAGATCAGGAACAATATTGTCTCTTTCCTTTCGCCATCTTTGCCCCTCTGTTAATATCTGCCTGTTGATGTTAGGACTGCTAAATTAAGACATTAAATTAAGATGTTAAGACATGAATTACTTCAGGTTTGGAAGGGACTTCTGTTTTGACTCAACTTTTTTGGAAACACAGACTTGGCAAGTTTATTTAGTCATTTCGATATATGAACCCTTCTCATACTTTTTCTAACTTTTCTGCAATCTCTAAGAATGAGACCTTCATATTAAGGGTAAGGATCCTTGTTTCCTTACCCTCTTCATGGTCATTTTGCTGCCCACCAAGCCTTGAGCCTGCCTCTTAAGGGCACAGTTTGTTTGTAACCTAAGACAGTATCCTAGGCTAAACTAAAGCTAAAGCCCTTTTTCCTATTTTAGTTGAAATAGCCCTTGCTCACCTACATGTTAAGTAATAGAGCAAATTGTAAGAAAGAATATTCTTTACAGATTAATTTTAGTCAAGATGAGTCAATGTAAAGTCTATGAGTGTAGAATTTTGTAAAAAATATTTTTGGAATCTAAACAGATGTTCTGTCCTTCTGGTCTAATTAATAAGTACACAGGGGACTTCAATCTCTTAATTAAGTGCCTCTAGAGCACTGTATCAGTGACGAGATGAACAGCTCTCACCTCTTGGCCTAACGCTAATGTGGTTAACCGGAGAATTCCCTCTGGCACACTGAAAAAATAGATTTTTATTAAACAGACAGACTGGTCTTGAGTTTGCCTTTTAAACACCAAAGTCTCTATTTCTTGTTAGAATTAGTTGAGAAACTTTGAAATACATGGGCATTTATTAACTAGATATAAGACAAATCTTTCTGAATTTTTGTTTCATAACAGAAGAGAAGATTCACAAAAAGTTAGAGGGGTCTCCCTCTCCAGAGGCAGAATTATCCCCTCCAGCAAAGGATCAAGTGGAAATGTATGTAAGATTGTATTCAGTAATAAAGTGTGCATTTGTTAAAATCAAATGAATAACTGCTACATGGTTTCCATTTTCTGTTTGTCATCTTGTTTAGTTTCATTATATATAATTTAAGACACATTTATCAAGCGCTTATGTGCTTGACACTGAGAATTCAAAGGTGAAATAAGATGGTTCTATCCTTGGTGTGCATATTCAATAAATATTTGTGGAACAAATGAGTGAAACAAAGAAGATTATTATTTGCTAAGTCTATGTATGTACTATTACCTTTAATATTCACAACAGCCCTTTGAAACAGCTGTAAGAAATTACGATTATCAGCCAGGCACAGTGGTTCACGCCAGTAATCCTAACACTTTGGGAAGCCAAGACGGGTGGATCACCTGAGGTCAGGAGTTCGAGACCAGCCTGGTCAACATGGTGAAACCCTGTCTCAAAAATTAGTCAGGCATGGTGGTACACGCCTGTAATCCCAGCTACTCGGGAGACTGAGGCAGGAGAATTGCTGGAACCCAGGAGGCAGAGGTTGCAGTAAGCTGAGATTGTGCTATTGCATTCCAGCCTGGGCGATAGAGCAAGACTCTGTCTTATTAAAAAAAAAAAAAAAAGAAAAGAAAGAAAGAAAAGAAGTGATTGTCCATGTTCACAAGCAAGAACACTGAGTTCCCACTGTTTACTGCAAAGGGAACATAGGCAAATCCTTGACCTGCCAAACCTGCTTCCTAAAGATACTTTTCTTTTTTCTTTGTAAATAATTAGTCTTAAAATAATCTGTATTATAAACAGACTTCCCTATTATACATTTTATTTTAATCTTCTGAACCTCTGAAACCTAAGAAAAAAATGGCATTTCCTTTGTTTGTATAGACCTGTATTGTCCAGCACAGTAGCTGCAAGCCATGTGTGACTGCCGAGCACTTGACATGGGGCTGGTTCAAACCGTGATGTGCTGTCAGTGGACAATTCTCATTGGATTTCAAAGACTGTATATAAAAAAGAATGTAAAGTAGTAAACATTTTAAAATACTGATTACATGTTGAAATGATAATATCAGGAGTTTAGTTAAATGAAATATATTACTGGAGTGAATTTCACCTGTTTCTTATGTTTTTAATGTGCCTGCTAGAACACTTAAAATTACGTATGAAGCTCAAAATACATTTCTGTTGGTCAATTCTTGATGTAGACTGAGAAAGAGAATCAAGTTCAGGCCCTTTGAAAACATGGCCTTTTACCACTACATGTGTGACCTTGAGCATTGCCTCTGAAACAACAGTCCCCTCAGTAGCCAATGTGACATTAAATTCTTCCTTTCGCAGTCTGTTCTGCTCTGAAATCTTTGGTGGCTCCCAGTTTCCTAGCAAATCAAAAACACTTTCTCATTTTCAAGCCCCCTGAAACCAGCCTCCCTGGCTTTTTGCACCCTGCGTTTCTAGTGATCTCTGCTCTAATTAATTCTCCATTCTGTGAGCATAACGTGTGTCTTCGTGTCCTCACACACGTTCTCAGGCCTCACAGGTAGTACTCACTAAACTTGCGGAATAAATCTGGAATTCCGAGGCTTAGTTGTGGCCCACTTTAACTGTTTTAGGCCTCACCAATATCCTCTTTCTGAATACTTGAATGTGGTCATTCCTACCGTTTCTGAGGGCCTGCTTCAATGCCAGGCAGTATGCTAGCGGTTAAGAAGCTGCTTTTCCGACTCATTTTGCATATTATTTCCTTTACTCCTCAGAACTCAGAGAGGTAAATATTACTAGCTCTATTTTTTAGGTGAGGAAACTGAGCTATGGAGAGGTTAAGTAACATGCCGAAGGTCACACAGCTAGTAAAGTAGGCAGAGCCAGGATTTGACCTCAGAGAATGTGGCTTTAGAGCTCATACTCTTGACTGATTTGCTACCGAGCTTTTCAACTGCATATATTTTCAATGCTCACAGTAACTTCATGAGGTAAGTCATAGGATCATCATTTTGCAGTTGAAGAAATAGTCCAAAGCAGTAAATAATGAGCTTAAAGTCGCAAACAATAGTGACTTAGCTGAGATTCAAATTCAGATATTGCTTACTGAAGAGACTGCATTCTTTCTTCTATTATTTGTCCTTTTTGACTTCTTAATTAAAATGCAAACTTTGAAGATAAAAACTATCATCTTACATATTTTCTCAGTATTCTTAACAGTGCGTATCACAGTGCTGAGCAAAATGGTGCTTGATGCATGGGACTAATCTTAAGCATATTTTACTGTATTATAAATTATTGTAAAGTTAATGATTCTTGGATGGTGTGAATGTTGATACTGCTAAAATGAAATATTCCATTATTTTGGTTGGTAGTGTTGTTTTACTGTAACTAAAGAATCTGTATACTCATTTTTTTAACTCTTTACTCTGTTTTTTAGGTATTATGAAGCATTTCCACCGCTTTCTGAGAAACCAGTTTGCCTGCAAGAAATCATGACGGTGTGGAACAAGTCTAAAGTCTGTTCTTACTCTAGCTCTTCTTCATCATCCACAGCCCCACCAGCTAGCACAGATACTTCCTCTCCTAAGGACTGCAACAGTGAAAGTGAAGTCACCAAGGAAAGAAGCAGTGAAGTGCCCACCACTGTGCATGAGAAAACCCAGAGTAAAAGTAAAAACGAGAAGGAAAACAAATTTAGTAATGGCACAATTGAAGAAAAGCCTGCTTTGTACAAAAAGCAAATCCGACATAAACCTGAAGGAAAGATTCGCCCTCGCTCATGGTCTTCTGGCTCCAGTGAAGCAGGCTCAAGTTCCAGTGGGAATCAGGGAGAATTAAAAGCATCCATGAAGTATGTTAAAGTAAGACACAAGGCACGAGAGATTCGAAACAAAAAAGGGCGGAATGGGCAAAGCAGGCTTTCTTTGAAGCATGGTGAAAAGGCTGAAAGAAACATTCATACTGGAAGTAGTAGCAGTAGCAGCAGTGGTTCTGTCAAACAGCTGTGCAAGCGGGGTAAGAGACCTTTAAAAGAAACAGGGAGAAAAGATCCTGGGAGCACTGAAGGAAAAGACCTGTACATGGAGAACAGAAACGACACAGAGTATAAAGAGGAGCCCTTGTGGTACACCGAGCCAATTGCTGAATATTTTGTTCCTCTGAGCAGAAAAAGTAAACTAGAGACCACATACCGAAACAGACAAGACACAAGTGATCTGACATCAGAGGCAGTGGAAGAATTGTCTGAATCAGTGCATGGTCTTTGTATCAGCAACAATAATCTTCATAAAACATACCTCGCAGCAGGTACTTTCATTGATGGTCATTTTGTAGAAATGCCTGCAGTTATAAATGAGGATATTGACCTCACTGGGACCTCATTATGTTCTCTACCAGAGGACAATAAATACCTGGATGATATTCATCTGTCAGAATTAACGCACTTCTATGAAGTGGATATTGATCAATCCATGTTGGATCCTGGTGCCTCAGAAACAATGCAAGGAGAAAGTCGGATTTTGAATATGATTCGACAAAAAAGCAAAGAGAACACAGATTTTGAGGCAGAATGTTGCATAGTGTTAGATGGTATGGAGTTGCAAGGGGAACGTGCAATATGGACAGATTCTACCAGCTCCGTGGGTGCTGAGGGCTTATTCCTGCAGGACCTTGGCAATCTGGCTCAGTTTTGGGAGTGCTGTTCATCCAGCTCTGGTGATGCGGATGGGGAGAGTTTTGGAGGAGACTCTCCGGTTAGACTCTCTCCCATCTTAGACAGCACAGTGCTCAATTCACACCTGCTTGCTGGCAATCAAGAGCTCTTTTCAGATATTAATGAAGGATCTGGTATAAACTCTTGTTTTTCAGTGTTTGAAGTGCAATGCAGTAATTCTGTTTTACCATTTTCTTTTGAAACACTCAACTTGGGAAATGAAAATACAGATTCTAGTGCTAATATGCTTGGGAAAACACAGTCTAGATTGCTAATATGGACCAAAAATAGTGCCTTTGAAGAAAATGAACACTGTTCTAATCTTTCAACAAGAACTTGTAGTCCATGGTCCCATTCAGAAGAAACACGTTCAGACAATGAAACATTAAATATTCAGTTTGAAGAATCCACACAGTTTAATGCCGAAGATATTAATTATGTAGTTCCTAGAGTCTCGTCAAATTATGTAGATGAAGAACTTCTAGATTTTTTGCAAGATGAAACTTGCCAGCAAAACAGTAGAACTTTAGGTGAGATTCCTGCATTAGTTTTCAAAAAAACATCTAAACTAGAATCCGTCTGTGGTATTCAGCTAGAACAAAAAATAGAAAACAAAAATTTTGAAACTACACAAGTATGTAATGAAAGTCCACATGGAGATGGCTACAGCTCAGGGGTTATTAAAGACATTTGGACAAAGATGGCAGACACAAATTCTATGGCCACAGTAGAAATAGAAAGAACTGATGCTGAGTTGTTTTCGGCAGATGTAAATAACTACTGCTGCTGTCTAGATGCTGAAGCTGAACTGGAGACCCTTCAGGAGCCTGATAAGGCTGTGCGGAGGTCAGAGTACCATCTGTGGGAGGGACAGAAAGAGAGCCTGGAGAAAAGAGCATTTGCTTCTAGTGAGCTATCCAACGTGGATGGTGGTGATTATACAACACCCTCTAAACCCTGGGATGTAGCCCAAGATAAAGAGAACACATTCATTCTTGGAGGAGTTTATGGAGAACTCAAAACCTTTAACAGTGATGGGGAATGGGCAGTCGTACCACCCAGCCACACAAAAGGAAGCCTGTTACAGTGTGCAGCTTCTGATGTAGTGACGATAGCTGGTACAGATGTCTTTATGACCCCGGGAAACAGTTTTGCTCCTGGGCACAGGCAGTTATGGAAACCCTTCGTGTCATTTGAACAGAATGATCAGCCGAAGAGTGGGGAAAATGGGTTAAATAAGGGATTTTCTTTTATCTTCCATGAAGACTTACTAGGAGCTTGTGGCAACTTTCAAGTCGAAGATCCTGGACTTGAATACTCGTTTTCTTCCTTTGACTTAAGCAATCCATTTTCACAAGTTCTTCATGTAGAATGCTCATTTGAACCTGAAGGGATTGCATCTTTCAGCCCCAGTTTTAAACCGAAATCAATCCTCTGTTCTGATTCAGACAGTGAAGTGTTGCACCCCAGGATATGTGGTGTTGACAGAACACAATACAGGGCTATTCGGATCTCTCCTAGGACTCACTTTCGCCCAATTTCTGCATCCGAACTGTCCCCAGGAGGAGGAAGCGAGTCAGAATTTGAATCTGAGAAAGATGAAGCAAATATTCCCATTCCTTCTCAAGTGGATATATTTGAAGATCCGCAGGCAGATCTCAAACCTCTGGAAGAAGATGCAGAGAAAGAAGGCCATTACTATGGAAAATCAGAGCTTGAGTCTGGAAAATTCCTTCCCAGGTTAAAAAAATCTGGGATGGAAAAGAGTGCTCAGACATCACTGGATTCCCAGGAGGAATCAACTGGGATTCTGTCAGTAGGAAAGCAAAATCAGTGTTTGGAATGTAGCATGAATGAATCCCTGGAAATAGATTTAGAAAGTTCAGAAGCAAATTGTAAAATAATGGCACAATGCGAGGAAGAAATTAATAATTTTTGTGGTTGCAAAGCAGGTTGTCAGTTTCCTGCTTATGAAGATAATCCACTTTCTTCGGGACAGCTGGAAGAGGTATGTGTCTGCGTATTGGTATTTGACAAAAGGATTTGATCAGAGTTTAACCGAAGAACAGACATGTCAGGCAATGAAAGATGGGGTTAAATTATCGGGAAGTTAGCATAAATGTCTTAAAACTTAAATTGTTCTAATTTTACATGTAAGGACTTAAAATGGATTTGATATTTATAAATTTGAACTAGACAGTAGAGTTTTTCTGGAGAGAAAAAGCTTTTAAAAATCACAGGATGTAAGATTCCTATGTGTTGTCTTAAGATACATGTGGCCGGGCGCGGTGGCTCAAGCCTGTAATCCCAGCACTTTGGGAGGCCGAGGCGGGTGGATCACGAGGTCAGGAGATCGAGACCATCCTGGCTAACATGGTGAAACCCCGTCTCTACTAAAAATACAAAAAACTAGACAGGCGTGGTGGCGGGCGCCTGTAGTCCCAGCTACTCGGAGGCTGAGGCAGGAGAATGGCGTAAACCCGGGAGGCGGAGCTTGCAGTGAGCCGAGATCGCGCCACTGCACTCCAGCCTGGGTGACACAGCGAGACTCCGTCTCAAAAAAAAAAAAAAACAAAACAAAAAAAAAAAACAAAAAAAAAGATACATGTTATTGGCCGGGTGCAGTGGCTCACGCCTGTAATTCCAGCACTTTGGGAGGCCAAAGCGGGTGGATCATTTGAGGTCAGGAGTTCAAGACCACCTTGGCCAACATGGTGAGACCCCATCTCTACTAAAAATACAAAAATTACCCAGGCGTGGTGGTGGACACCTGTAATGCCAGCTACTTGGGAGGCTGAGGCAGGAGAATTGCTTGAACCCGAGAGGCAAAGGTTGCAGTGAGCTGAGATTGCATTCTGCACTCCAGCCTGGGTGAGAGGGTGAGACTCTGTCTCAAAAAAAAAAAAAAAAAAAAACCATGTATTATACTTAAAGCAAAAACCTAACATATAAATGTTCCAACATTCAAAGTTGATGAATCAGGAAGTGGCTGCTATTAAAGTGTAGCAAGCCTGTCTAACTGACTCTTAGAAGTTGATCATTTTATCAAAACTTGTGTTTTCCATGTAAAACAAATTATATCTCTATGGAGTTCTCAAAAATACATTGTGGTACATGTAGAAATTCACCCACACCCCAAATGCAACAAAATTGCTTCTAAAGAACCTATAAAGAAGTATCTTGCTTTATACAAAGTACATATTCCAGAAGCTGTGCGGGTTATATGTTACCGCTATGGAATGAGGATAATACTAAGTTTTGTTAATGAGAGTTGTTGTACCCCTCCACTGTATGCCCAAGAAATGGCTTGAGGTTAAACTGATTGTACAAGAAATAACACTTAAGACAATAACCTGTTTCACAAAAAAAAAGCGTAGCAGTCTGCCCACTTTTCCACTGTTTTCGATATGTGAGTGCCTGGCCTTTCTCCAGAAACAGCTTATTTAATTTTGTTTTTGTTTTTGTTTTTGTTTTGTTTTGGGGACGTGTCACTCTGTCGCCCAGGCTTCAGTGCAGTGGTGTGATCTCAGCTCACTGCAACCTCCACCTCCCAGGTTCAAGTGATTCTCCTGCCTCAGCCTCCTAAGTAGCTGGCATTAAAGGCATGCACCACCACGCCTGGCAAATTATTTGTATTTTTAGTAGAGACAGGGTTTCACCAGGTTGACCAGGCTGGTCTTGAACTCCTGACTTCAAGTGATCCACCTGCCTTGGCCTCCCAAAGTGTTGGGATTACAGGCGTGAGCCGCCACGTCCGGCCCAGCTTATTGAAAAAAAGAGATGGAGGTGTTTAGAAGTCATGTTACCTGTGGCCGGAGAGCAGATGAGTGTTGCCCTTCCTCCCAACTGTCCTGCACACCCTCCCCTCTCCTGTACACCCAAAATGTACAATTTTGGATTGTACATCCAAATCCTACCCATACCGTGAGACTTCCTTCATATGCCACCTCCTTCACTGACACTTTTCCTAATTCCCTCTCTCCCCTGCTCCAGCCCCACTCTGCATCAGAATTAATTTCGCCCCTCTCTTAATTTTCATGCACTGTATGCCTCTTTTTGATTGCATTTTCCATTTCTCATGAGTTATTTATATCCTGGACTGTAAGCTCCTTGTGGCTGTGGACCTTACTCATTTGTCCGTCAGAGTGCCCAGGTGTGGGGCTGCTTGCCTGGGATTCTAGGAAGCCCCCAGGAGACTTGAGAGTCATTGCTCTAATCAGCTACCTAGAGACCCGTAGAGGATGAATTTAATCCTATTGAAGCCCTGCTAAGAAAAAACCCAGTAATGTTGTTAGCCTTTATCTGTTTGTTTATTGCCCCATTTTTCATCCTTAAATATTCCTTCATGTACTTTGTATTTCACCTGGTTCCAGATTGGGAAGAAAGAAAAAGAGGAAAGAAGCAAGATTCTACATACCACTACCATATTCCTTCGCTTTCTAGTATGTTGATGTATTTATGTGTTATCAGAATTCTGGGTTTCCTTGAAAGGTCTTAGCCGCCAAAAACATTTGCAGAGGACATTTTGGGATGGTCTGATAGTTTAGATGTTGCCAGCACTGCTCTCTCGGCAGCGTTGTTACAGTTCAGAAGCCGGGTTCAAGCTTACTTCATAGATTCATCTGAGATATGGAAGAGGCTGAGAGAGTGACCTGAAGGGACAGTTTGGGGCCAGCCTGGTACTAGAACCTGTATCTTTCTGTTCTGTCACATTGTTTGGTCAGTTTTAAAGGTGCTTTTAAGAGGATGTGCTTCCGACCCTTTTCCTGAGTCAGTCCGGTCTTTTCAGAAAGCAATCTGGGAGGTGTGTTTGAAGATCAGTAGAACCCCATCTATTTCAGACCTAGACGATGAAACTGTAGGATTTCCAATAGAACTGGTGTCTAAGAGCATGAAAATATGATTATTTTCCAAAGTTTAGTGTAGTTCAATTCAGCAAACATTTAGTGAATAGCTGTTTACATGCCTGTTGCTAACGTAGGTGTTCTGGGTGAATGAGACTTTGTCCTTGCCCATACAGAATTCAGCGTAGTGAAGATGACCAACTTGTACCATGTTACTACTTCTTTTAATTGAAGCAGGTAATTTATTCGTGTGGTTCAAATTCAGAAGTTACAAGTGTATATGTACATACACAGTGAAAGGCTCCCTCCCCGGCAGCAGCCACTAGTGTGAGGTCTGATGTATTCGCCAAGGATATTTTTTGCACGTATAAACAAATAAATGTTCACATGTATTTCTTCCTATTTTTTCTTTTTACTGAAATAGTACTTTATTGTAATCACCCTTCCTTTTTTTATTTTCTGCATACTATTCCATTGTATGGATATACCATAATCTGCCTAGTCAGTTCTTTATCTTTTAGGGCATTTGACCAGTGCAGTTTTAGGTGCTGTAGGTAGAATGGTGGAGGGGAGCACAGAATGCTGTGGGAACCTGCAGGAGAACCCTCCTAGCCTGTGAAGGTTGAGGACGGCTTCTTGAGCATACCTGAGTGTCCAGAGTAGAAGGAAGGAGGCAGGGCAGTCCTGGCAGAAGGAACAGCAGAAGCAAGGGTAAAGAGATTTGAATCTGCTGATGTGTGCAGGGCAGCTGTGAACAGTTCTCTCATGGTCTCTGGAGTATAAACCGTACAGTTAAGAGTAGCACAGATGAAGCACAGTGCGCCTTGGTATCTGTACATACATTGGTGGTGAAAATGTTCTTCTTGTTTCCTTGGTTGCCAACTTAGTACCAAGCACCTTGAGGCACAGAAAATAAGCAAAAGACTTACTTGCTGTCTTCAGGGAATTTCAGTCTACTCAGGAGAGGAGCTCACTGTGCTGTGGAGGTCAGCAGGTCTGAGGGACAGAAAGGCTCTGATGAGTAAAGAAGGAGTGGGGCTCAGGGGTCTTCCTGGTGATGTGCCACCCAGCCCATCGATGTTGAGGCCTCTGTCACCACTACCCTACTGGATGCCTATGTAGACCTCATGTGGTAGGTGATTTTCCCCACTTCGGAAGACACATAGGCTCTAACAGGTGAGACGGCTGCCCCACATCCCAGTGTGAGGGGCAGGCCACGCATTTTCCGCCACTCTGCACCTCTGTGAACTGAGGAAAGCTCACACCAGCAGTTCTGCGTTTCATTTGTCTCTGTTGCACTCAGCATCTCTTCACTGATGTTTCTTTTCTTCCTTCCCAGAGAACAAGGTACATGGAAGTCTTGCTTCTCCTGGTGTGACCCAAATGAGAGCTGATTGTGGCAAAGGGGCAAGATTCCCAGAATCAAACTAAAACCAGGCACCTTTCTTATTACCCAAACTAGGAGTATTTTGTGAGAATGTAAAGCTTGGAGCCTTTGTTTCCTTCACCCAGCTTCTACCTTCTAAAGAATTTCTGAATTTTACTTCTGTTGCTAAAAACATTTCTGGTTAGGCTTTTTGGATTAAGTTTATGTCTTCTTTTCACTGTTTCATTCATTCATCAACTATTTCTTATGTACCTGCTTGGCCAGGTACTATTCTTGGTGCTGGAAATAAGTAACAAAGCTCTCGGTGCTGGTGGAGTCACATCCCACGTTGGGGAGCTGACAATAAACATGTTAAGTTATATAGTGTATTACAATATAAATGCTGTTGGAAAGGAGGAGAGCGGGACGAGGGGCATTGGGGTTGGGAGTGATTGCAGGAGTTTGCTGTGTTACGGGCAGTATGAGAACAGGCTTCCTTGCCAAGGTGCAATTTAAGGAAATACTTAGAGGTAAGAGAGTGAGCCGAGAAGATGCCTGGCAGGAGAGGGAGGGCAGCACTGAGGCCGCTGCTGTGCCTGCCTGTCCATGACAGCGACGTTCTGATCTGCTTTCAGCTTCCTCCATTGTCTCTTCATTCTTTTCATTCCCAGCTACACCAGAAGTTGAATTTAATACATTAGATGGTGTATTAGATGAACATAGCATGATCCAGCCTAGAAGTTACAAATGACTGAGAGGAGAGGTGTCATGACAAGATGCATATTCCTTGAATATGTTTACTGAAGTATAAAACGGGACAAATAAGTCCCTGCCATAGGAACTGACATTCAAATGGAAGATGCAGAAAAAAGACCCCCAAATTTATGGTAGAAACTGGTGTGCTCTTCACAGTGGTTTCAGCAAGAGAGAGAGAAGAAATGATGTATGAGATAGTCAGAGACTGTTGGCCTGGGGGGACTTTTCTTTACATCAGCAGACACTGAGTATCTACTTTGTGCGGGGGCCCTGTCCTTGGAGATGCAAACATGAAGAAGACATGGTCCCGCGCCTCAGGAAGCTTACAGTCGGGTTCTGCTGGGATCTAAACTCCTCTTGGTTCATGCTGCCCCTGCTCCCCAGGTGCCTGGCCCCTCCAGCCTGCTTTCCCTGACCTGTCCCATCGCCCACCATGAACTCACTCCCTTTCTTGATGTTAATCCTCCAGAAAGGATGAAAAGATAAGCAGTATATTTAAACTGATCATTCCTGCAAAGAGCCTTTTCTTTCTCAAATAAGAGCCTGTTAACCTCTAAATCCATTTATCTTCAATAGCACCTTAGGGAGCTGATGGAGAGAGTTCTGACTGGGGCACCTTCCTTGCTCCCCCTGAGTAGCACTAAGGAATCTCACAGGACAGGCTAGACCTTTCTAAGAGGTCTTAGAGTGTAGGGAATTGCATGCCAGGTGCTGTTAGCCACCTTGAAAGAACTGCAGGCCTTGCGTGGTGCCGCCTTGTTTGCAGAAAGCCCAGCCCTGTGCATTCCCCTGGACCTAGCATCTGTTTATCCCAGTTTTTATTAGGATAAGCTGTAGGAGAGAATAGCAAAGGTTAACTTGACTTCTCTGGGTAGACAGTACAATTCTCCTTCAGTTTCTGACTTAGGAGTGTTTCCAAAAAGTTAAGTGAAAACAAAAGTTGGAAGTGTTTCCCTTTTAGTTACATGACAAACACTCATTACTGAATTGAACAGTTTTAGACCCATAAATAATTAGGTTAAAAGTGTAACAAAATCCTATTAGGAAATTGATGATCCATTTGTTTCTAAAACACTTTAGATTTTAAACTTGAACACATAGTGAAATGTCTTTCAAAGCAGTGAAGATGGGTGCAGTGTTCACAGGCCTCTCCACTGAGCAGGTGTCTACTGGGAACGCAGCATTAGGGGATGTGGGTGGTAGAAAGATACAGTGGCCAAGCCTCACCCTGGGCGAGCGAGCTGGTGGCAGGCTCACCCTCTCAGGCACAGTGAGGAAGGCACACAGAAGGGGGTTGCCCTGACTGCTAGCATGCCAGGTATACATGGTGACTGAAGCTGCCACAAGTCTTCTATTGACCACACTACAAGGACTGTCCTTGGTCACCAGTAATAGCTGTTGTCTGTCTGCCATTGGCCACACTATCCAGTTCTCACTGGCCAAGCAGGTGGGGCCCAGCCAGGACTTGAGAATCCCACTGGGAAAGGATGGATCCTGGGTTCAGGCTGGGTCCCTCTTCTGGGCCTGGACAACTTCCAGATGTGAAGGATGTGAGTCTCTCCTGCTCTCAGGAGTCGCTCTCATCTCATTTGGTTGGCTGTCTCCTATTTAAATTTGAATCATGGAATTTGAATTTGTAATTTGGTTTTAACTTTAGTTTCCTTCTGGTTCGCACCTAAGCGAGATAATTTTAAGACATTTAGGTCAATAAGTCTGCCTATAAGAATTTCCGTTGGGCCAGGGGTGGTGGCTCATGCCTGTAATCCCAGCACTTTGGGAGGCCAAGGCAGGCAGATCACCTGAGGTCACAAGTTCGAGACCAGCCTGGCCAACATGGCAAAACGTTGTCTCTACCAAAAATACAAAAATTAGCCAGGGTGGTGGTACATGTCTGTAGTCCCAGCTACTCGGGAAGCTAAGGCACGAGAATCCTTTGAACACTGGAGGCAAAATTTGCAGTGAGCTGAGATCGCACCACTGCATTCCAGCCTGGGTGACAGAGTGAGACTCTGTCTCGAAAAAAAAAAAAAAGAATTTTCTTTTATTCCATTTCTTCTTTGACTGACTTCTGCCTGAGTATATGAGAGAGAAGAGGGTTCCCCCTGTTCTCTTCAGAGCACCTCCTGCCAGTAAAGGCTCAGGGCTTCCCCGTTATCTCTGTGCACTTGTGGAACCTAGAAGTTTGCCTTACCTAGGAGCGTTTTTATTACATTAGATTTTTGGCTTGTAAGAGTTTTTTTGGTTAAGATTTTCAAGTCGCTTCCCATCTAAGTACTTCTTAAGCAATACTTTCTTTATACACTCTGAACACGCTGGCTTTTAAAATGTACCTTTTTCAGAATTGTATAAAAACTCACCAGTTGACTGGGCATGGTGGCTCATGCCGGTAATCCCAGCACTTTGGGAGGCCAAGCTGGGAAGATTGCTTGAGCTCAGGAGTTCGAGACCAGCCTGACCAACATGGCGAAACCCTGTTTCTACAAAAAGCACAAAAAATGAGCCGGGCATGGTGATGCCCACCTGTAGTCCCAGCTACTTGCAAGGCTGAGGTGGGAGGATCACTTGAACCCTGGAGGTGGAGGTTGCAGTGAGCCAAGATCGTGCCACTACACTCCAGCCTGGGTGACAGACCCAGACCCTAGCTCAAAAAGAAAGAAAGAAAAGTCAAAAAACCTCACCAATGTAAAAGTTCTGGGTTTATAATCTATAAATAATGCTTGAATATTCTTCCTCTAACTTGAGAGTTTATACGCTTTTTTTATATTTGGTTTAATCTAAACAGTTCCCTGTATTGAACACTGATATACAAGGAATGAATAGAAGTCAAGAAAAACAGACCTGGTGGGAAAAAGCCTTGTACTCTCCTCTTTTTCCTGCATCAGAGTGTGAAGGTAAGGAGACCTCTTTAGTTCATTTATTCATTCCAATTTGTAATTTATTAAGAGCAATAATTTCTTTTTCTATGAACATCAGTCCAAGAAACATTTTCCAAGAGGTTTCTGTGTGGGTGGCACTGTGTCATGCACTGGGACACAGACGAATGAGAACTGGGTCCTGCTCTGAAACAGCCACAACCTGATGGAGGGGAAAGGCATAGAAATACATCCAAGCATTACTGACCATGGATGAGATGTGTATAAGCCACCACTGAGTCACAGAGGAGGAAATAGCAGGCAGTCCCTGTGAAGAGAGTTGCCTGCACAGAGGCAGGAGGGTCGCAGCCAGGGGAAAGCACAGGGCCCCATGGCTTAGCTGAGGCAGGAGAGACAGACACGGCAGGAGGCTGTCAGAAGGTGTGAGGGCTTGGCTAGGTTAGGTCCGGAGAGACAGGGCAGGAGGCTGTCAGAAGGTTTGAGGGCTTGGCTAGGTTAGGTAGCATCTAACATGCAGGAAGGGAACGCCGTCCACAGAATTTAAATTGGAGGTCGTCAAGGTCCGATGTTGTTGAGAACAATTCTAGTAACAGAGTGGAAATGGAATTGAAAAACTGAAGGGTATTGGCCAGGGTTTTAGGCTCTTGCAGTAGTTTGGGAGCCATAAGCTAAAGGGCTGGACTGAGGTAATAATCACGGGGACAGAGAAAAGGAAACAGGACCGAGAGGTTTTGTAGAAGAGGAGCTTGTTGGATGACTTTCTGTGAGGAGTAGTTATGGGAGTGTAGGTAGAGAGGGAGACAGGAGTGGGCGCTGATACGGTGAGGAAGATTTTAGTGTAGGGTATTTTTTGAATGGGCAGTCTGTGAGGCCTTCCAGGTAGACTCCCAGAAGTTATTAAGAAACCCTGACTTGAAATTTTGGGAGAAGTAGGAACTAAGGATGCAACTAGAATTGATTAGCTCAGGAAGTTCAGCTTGTCCAGATTGTGGTCTCCTGGGCTTCTGTTGGCTACCACATTTATTCAACAACAGCCTCCTGTCAGAGCCCTGAAGGGGTTATGCAAATCTCTTGCTTTTAAATTTACGGGTTCACGTTTGTCACATGCCCTCAGGTAATTTGTAGTTAGTGTGGAGCCAAGTGACTTCTCTCACTAGCTAGGACGCCCTGCACATGCCTGTGCTGTCCTCGGAAAGCTTTCCTGGCACTCCTCGGCAGCATGAGCTGTACTGATGGGATGGAAGGCCAGATCGGCCAGGTTGACTCTAGGAGTGGAGCGTGTGCGATTCTCCGGTCCGTAGCCACAGACAGCTTCCCAAGACCCTGCCTTCCTCCTTCCCAGAGGTTCAGCTGGGGCATAAGGAGAGTGTAGAGCTGAGTCTTCACTGTTAACGTCTTTGTTGATTGAACAGCATTTATTAAAGGCCCAGTCCTGCTGCTGCCCTACTGTTGGCTCATATCTGGACAGCCTTGATGGCGCGCAAGGCGCTCGCAAGCTTCTATATAATTCCCACAAGAACCTCAGGAGATGCCCTCCGCTGGTTTTCAGATGAGGAAGCTGAGTCTCAAGTTGAGTACTGTAATTTGCCCGAAATCACAGTTAACTATTAAGCATGGGCTAGAATCTAGGTTGTGGTTCTTGTGGTCCGGAAGTTTTGCCCTGTACAGCAGCTGCCTGCACTTGGTACCAAGGTAGATGCCAGGGCAGTAGGAGCACAGACCTTCCCTTCATGTGTGTCCAGTCTGGTAAACTGGGCAAGTGTAAGACACAGACACAGTTAATGGAATGCAGGCGGGATGTGGCCAGAGCTGGGCCACAGAGGGCCTCTGAGGAAGAGCTAGCAGGGAGAGCAGGATGCCACTTTGTGGCGAAGAACCAATTCCTTGCAGTGGCATAGGATGATTTTCAAAAGAGAGTTCATGTTTCTTTATAAAGGGCAACCTTGGCACCCTTAGTCCAGTTTTCTGTCATTAGTTAGTAAAGAATCCAGTTCCAACTCTTAGCTCTAGGTTCCTGGTTATCTGTACATCTCTTAGAAGATACTGGTGTTTGTACGTAATACTTTTGTTTTTACGGTGAAGTGGTATATAGAGAGACTCTTGAGTGCATAAATGCTGGTAGTTATTTCTTTTGAATGACCTTTAGCTTGCAGTGTGAGTTAAGTCCCTGCATATTTGCCCTGTAGCATCATGAAGCATCCTTCTTTAGCTTATGTGGGTTGGGGTATGTAGTCTCAGAAGGATAGCCAAGAAAACAGGTAGTCACTTACCCACTCAGCAGAAGTGGTGGGGACTCCTGATGCTTCTAACGTTGCATATGGTTCGTCACAAGCAGGTGCTGCTCTGAGCCAGGAGTTGACCTGGGAGCTCACAGCATCTCTGGAAAGGAAGAGTAGCATTGTCCCCTTTACAGTAAGGCGGACAAGAGGCTCAGAAAAGAGGCAGCTTATTGAGGTACCCATATAAGAAAGCCCAAGTTTTTTGCAGTCTGCCACCTGCTGGCCTTGCTGTGTATTCGTGTGTGCATCCATTCAGCACTTGGGTTAGGCACTGTTCTAGACTCTGGGGATGCATAGGCAGACAGATCGTGTCCCTGTCCTCCTCCTGCTCAGGTACCTTCTCAACAGGGACTTAAGGAAATAGGGCACAGACCATGTGACAGCTGGGGCTGCCTGCAGGGAGAGGTGCCAGGCAGCAGTGGCTTGTGCAGGGGCAGGAATGCATTGGGTATGCCCCAGCATGACTGGCAAAGAGGGGATGGCATGGGAGTGTGGTGGGGATGAGGCCAGCCAGGCAGCTGGGAGCCAGACCACAGAGGGCCGTATAGACTGTGTGCACCAGCAGTGCTGTCCCAAACAGCAGTCTCCACAGCTCACGGCCCTGGATTTTCAATGCTTTCAAGACTCAACTAATGTAAGTGTCTGGATGATTTTAGCATTAAAGACAGAGAGTCCTGCAGGGAAACAGTATAGACAGTCGGTGAAGGGCTCAGGATTGAGAACTGTATTGGAATCCAGAGTCTCTTTCCCCAGCTGTTAGGCTTTGGGTGCTGACTGAACCTTTCTGTGCCTCTGTAGTCTGTATGTATAAAAGGAGGCTAGAGGAATGCCTTCATTGTAGAGTAAAGTGCCTAGAACAATGCCTGGCATGTCATCATAGCCTGAAACAGGGTGGCGGTCAACTTGAGCATCATGAAAACTGTCAACAGCAGTTCAGCATCACCTTTTCCAAGTACCCTGTGGCACAATAAAACCCTCTTATATGTACAGAATTCCTAAAGCAGGAAGAGAAAATGAAGGAGTGGCGTGTGGAAATGGGCCTGCCTGTCTCTGAGCATATCCTCATCAAGGAAACCATGTCCTCCCCACTCCATGCCCCTCAACCAGTATAAGTGGTGGCCAAATGGAGTGGGCCATGGAGTGAGAGGTCAGCCAAGGAAAAGATGCCTCCTTAGGAGAGATGAAGCCAGCCTCAGCAGAGGACACAGGGCACCCTCCCCAGCTGCCCTAGGGTGACCATGCCTCCAAGCCTGTGGCTTTGATCAGCAGTGGTCATAGGTGCAATGTGTGTGGCAGGCACTGTGCTTGAGGTTTCACCTCTTTGAATTTGCACAGAAATGTAGGAGGGAAAATGGTGATGTTCTCATCTTAGAGATGAGGATACTAGGGCTCAAAGAGGTTAAATAATTTGCACAAAGTTACATCACAAGTAAATAGCGTGACCTGGAATTGACTGAAGTCTGTCTAACCCCAGAGCCTCGGGTATTCTCATGAACCTCAACTAGTAACTTGGAATTCTTGAAGCCATCAGAGTGAACAGAAGCTTGTGGAGAGTCTTCCATGTGGCCAGTGCAGCTGCAGGCAGCAGCCCAGCGGGGTCCAGGTGGTCTTACCCTTGGCACAGCCTCGCTACCCAGTGCCAGGGTAGAAGGCACAGCAGTCACTTGCTCCAGCCTTGTCCTTTGGGATGTTGTGCAAGGGGTAGGCATGCCATCTCATTGAACTGCCTTGTGGTAACTCTTATGGCAGGGGATGGGGGCTGTGATCTGCTTTTGAGGATGTAGATGCTCAAGGGTGTTAAAGGACTTTTGCACCATGAATGTCAAACCCAGAGTCCAAAACCCTGGCCAAGTTCCTCCTTTTCCTCTGCACTGTGCCTCTGCCCCAGCTGTGTTTCTCATGGAGGTAAGGGGAGTAAGAGGCTGTTCTGGATGAAGACCAGCAGTTCTCAGTGCATTCGAATTGCCTGGGAGCCGTTCTGCCTTTCAGAAAGTGCCCAGCCCCTGCCCGGGACAGTTCATTTGGAATCTGGCAGGAGTCTAAGCCTCTCTAAAGCCCCCGGATGATGAGAATATGCAGCCAGGGTTGAGAACCACTGGGCTCATTGGATTTATTTGATTTCTTCTCATCCCAGTTTCTTTCCCGTTTTGTGGGCCGTTTGCCTGATGGAATCACTGGTACCATTTCTTTTCCCTAGTCATAGATGAGATACATGGTTCAGTATGTTGTTGAGTTGAGGAAGAACACACAAGGACGTGACCCTGTGTTGTTTCTCCATTGCGTTCCCTCCTGTCTGAGCTGCCTTTGTTCTTCTGTTCTATGAACGTGCTACGATGCACCATCTGTCTCCTCTTCCCATTTGTTGTGGAGAGCATGGGCCCTGTGGGTCTCTCTGTCCTATGTTCCCAGGGCTGATCACATTACAGATGTGAATGGAAGCTTGTCCAATGAATGTCTCCTGGTAGAATAACAGGAGTATATGGTTATGCTGGCCTATTTTTTTTTTTTTTTTTTTAACTCACTAAACCAAGAATTTTTGTCAGTGTAGCGTTTTTTTCTCTTACACACCTGCCTGGCTGTGCTTTCAGTGATGACTTAAAATCTCCGAAGGGTTGGGAGACCTAACTGATCTAACTTTTTAGTGAAAATGAAACAAGAATGTATGTTTCATAACTGTGTCTTAATGGAATTTCCCCCTTTCCCTCTTTTCCCTTCTCCATTCAAAATGATTAAGAATGTTACACAAATGCCAAGGGAGAGAGTGGTTTAGAAGAATGTCCAGATGCTAAAGAGACACCCAGTAATGAAGAGCGCCTGTTAGATTTTAATAGGGTAAGTGGACTGTCCTCCTCCTCCTCATTAACTTACAAACAGCCACCACCTCCACTTGTCCCTCTAGTCAAAAACCTGGGAGTCCTGTGAGTGGACCCCACCTCCCAGGAACCAGCCAGGTCTGCGGGTGCAGACTTCCTCTTCTCTGGCCTTTGTTTTGAGTCTGCATGATCCCCGCCAACCCCCTTGACTGTTGGCTGCCAGCGCTTCCTGAAGAATCGCCAGCTCTCTCGCCAGTCTTGGCTCCACACTACTGCCAGAGGCGTTGTATTACGAATGCAGAGCTGGCCCTCTTGCTCCTTGGGTGGGCACTCTTTTCATCTTTCTTTTTCTTTTTTGTTTACCTAATAAGTGGGAGACCCAGCCTTGTCGTCTTTGAAAAGCGCAGCCGGAGGCAGCCTTGCCAGTGTGCTTCTTGCCGCTGTCCTGGCTTCTGCAGAACCATCCTGCCCCGTCGGTGTCCTTGCTGCACTCTGTGCACAGCTCTTCTTGTTGCAGCCCGAGCATTTTCCTGCGTTCAATTTCTGCATGTCTGTCTCTTCCACAAGCCCCTGTGCACCGTGAAGGCGGGTGCAGGGCCTGTGCCTGGTTTAGTCTAGTCTTAGACCTTCCCCAATTAAGCAGGCAGGCAGGCAAATGAACCTAAGGAAAATTCTTTTTCTTTAGTATGAATTGTCAGTGTATTAGGGTTCTCCAGAGGGACAGAACTAATGGAATAGGTATATATATAAAAGGGAGTTTATTAAGTATTAACTCGCACAGTCACAAGGTCCCACAATAGGTCATCTGCAAGCTGAGGAGCAAAGAGAGCCAGTCCGAGTCCCAGAGCTGAAGAACGTGGAGTCCAACGTTCGAGGGCAGGAAGCATCCAGCACAGGAGAAAGATGTAGGCTGGGAGGCTAGGCCAGTCTAGTCTTTTCACGTTTTTCTGCCTGCTTTATATTCTAGCTGTGCTGGCAGCTGATTAGATGGTGCCCACCCAGATTGAGGGTGGGTCTGGCTTTCCCAGTCCACTGACTCAAGTGTTAATCTTCTTTGGCAGCACCCTCACAGACACACCCAGGACCAATACTTTGCATCCTTCAGTTCAATCAAGTTGAGACTCAGTACTCACCATCACACGCCCACCCCTTGTCAGTGTGAACCCGTCTCCTGAAATTATACCTAATCTTCAAATAAAGACAGTAATAAGGTCATAATTATACCTAACATAATACAGCTATCCTTCATACAACCAGAAAAGCACCAATCCCAAACCCAAATACTATTACATAGAGTTAATACTTAAATGCTGATATGAAGTCAATAAATCTTATGTCAGCCGGGCACAGTGGCTCACACTTGTAATCCCAACACTTTGGGAGGTTAAGGTGGGCGGATCACCTGAGGTCAGGAGTTCAAGACCAGCCTGGCCAACATGGCAAAACCCCATCTCTACTAAAAATAGAAAAATTAGCTGGGCATGGTGGTGCATGCCTGTAATCCCAGCTACTTGGGAGGCTGAAGCAGGAGAATTGCTTGAACCCGGGAGGTGGAGATTGCAGTGAGCTGAGATTGCGCCACTGCACTCCAGCCTGGGTGACAGAGCAAAACTCCATCATTCATACATACATACACACATGCACACACATACATACACATACATACATACATAAATCGTGTCACATTATAAAGGACAAAACAAATGAGATTTTCCTAGTACAAGTGTATACATGCACAAACATGTTTTTAACAAAAGAAGGAGGAAATACTGAAGACAATTACAGTCCCGGTTTCTGCAGCTGGTCACATGGTCGTAGCTGGTATTGATGCCTACCTTCTTCTACTACCCGTTCTGTATTCCCTTTACCTTCAGCAAGCACCTCAGCAGGTCGTGGTTTTTTCCTGGTGGAGTGACCTAAACCTTCATTCCTGAAGAGTCTGGGCCGTTTGTATCCTGTCTGGATGGGGCTGTTGTAGTTTCTCATTAACTTTAATCACAGGGCACGTGATCCAGTGGACACTCAGTATTAACCACCAGTCAGTGTCCATTCAGGTCCTGTGAGAACTCACTGCCCAAGCACCTGTAGCATCGCTGTCCACGTCCTGCTGCCCGCTGACCTGTCCGGCTCCACACGTCAAGGCAGACGTTTGAGGCCCCCACCAGCTGTCTCCTCAGTGACTAGTTCACATCATCCTCCCAGCCTCAAACCCCAAACCAAGACGTGTTCCCCAGTCCTCTCTCTCATCTTCCACACACAGTCCGCCTGCCAGTCCTGACCGTTCCACCTCTCAGCCGCTTCACATCCTCCCACTTCTCCTCTCCATCATTACCGCTTTGTTCAAGCCACTGTCCCTGCTCCTCAACAGCTGCCATGGTATTTTCGTTGTCCTTCCTGCTTCCATCATGCTTTCCAGCCTTCTCTCCACACAGTAGACAGACTGACCTCACGAGCAGTAGCTTGTTTAGTCCTCATAGCAACCCTGTGAGGTAGGTACTGTAGTCATGCCTGTGCTGCAAAATAGGAAACTGAAGCACAAAAACATCAAGCGCCGTGTATCCAAGGTCAGAGAGCCACAGATTCAATGTGGACCGGAGCTCAACCTCAGCAGTCTGCCTCTAGGACCCGTACTGCTAACCATGATGTCGCTTTGCTGTTGCATTTGAGACAGATCCAAACTCCCCGCCACACCTCTACAGCCCTGTATGATTTGCCCCCATCTGCCTTTGACCTCATCTGCCTCTGCTCTCCCCTTGGTCTGTGTGGCTTTTCGGTGCTTCTGCCTCAGGGGTTCTCAACCAGGGGCAGTACTGCCATGTGGAAATGAGGTGGCAGTGCTGCTAGTTACTATGGCACGGTGAGGGGCGCTTTGGTAATGACTGTGACTGGGGAGGGGCTACCACTGCGTCTAGTGTCCTGGGGTCCAGAGATGCTGACCGTCTGGTGTAGGGGGGACAGTCCCACACAACAGAGTGTTGGCACCTCTGCATGGCTGGCTTCTCAGCTGAGCAGGCCTCTTCTCAAAAGAACTCCCTTCCCAGCCACACCCATCCGCAGTGCCCCCCTCGCCATCTGAACTGTGTCACTGCAGAATCCCTTCCCAGCCACACCCATCCTCAGTGCCTAAGCCATCTAGACTGTGTCACTTGCAGAATCCCTTCCCAGCCACACCGTCCATGATTACCCCCTGTATCTGTACCATGTCACTGCAGAATCCTTCCCAGCCACACCTGTCGCAGTGCCCCCTCACCATCTGAACTGTCCTGCAGAATCCCTTCCCAGCACCCGTCCGCCCAGTGCCCCCTCCCCATCTGAACTGTCACTGCAGAATCCTTCCCAGCCACACCCGTCTGCGGTGCCCCCTCACCATCTGAACTGTCACCACAGCTGGCGGCGTGTTCGTTTGCTCATTCATCTCGGCGGAGCCTGGCATATCCCTTGCATAACAGAGTCCCTGTACCAAATAAAGCTCTGGTGCGGAGCAGGTACTCCAGGACTTCTGCAAATGGCGTTCTTTATCCTCCCCTAGCATGCACCCAACATTTTGTCAAGTGACTGAACATGTGCAGTTAGGATTTTGGATCCTTTATGGATCAGAGGAAAGCGGTTTTGCTCTGAAACAGTGAAAGTCACTGCATTTTCTAACTCCACAGGAAAACATGGTAGTTTGTTATTTCTTCTCTGTATATAAATACAGTATCTCACCCTTTTGAAAAAAAAAAAAGTCTTTTTGATCTGTTGAAAATTGTTTTAATCTTAGGTGTCTTCTGTTTATGAAGCAAGATGCAGGAGAGAGAGAAATTCTGGAGCACAGTCAGATGGCTTCACAGAAAGATGTGCTCAGCGCCAGCTCCACCTCGGAAGAGACAGGCTTTCGGAAGGCGGAGGCGGAGTGGGTGAGCCTAGAAGAGGAGCTCTTTTCTCAGACTCATCTCTAAACCTGCAAAATAGTACAAATTATTGTTTAAAAATGATATGTGATGAAGAATTACTCTTCAGTGAGACCTGTTAATCTAAAACACCAACTTAGATTTCCTCTCAATTAGCTAGTTCAGATCGTGTAAATTATCTTTCTCTTCTTGCTTATTTTAGAGTTGAGGACAGCTATCCTGTTAAAGATTTTTTTTTCCAGCTGTTAAATTCTTGGCTATTTGAAATAGACTGGGTGTGTTGTCCAAATCAAGAATGGGTGTGCATGTGCTTGTCTTAGAAGTATCACTGCTTTTTGCATCTTAACTGCAGTTAATTTTCCTTCTAACTGCGGTTAATCACTCTGACCTTATTAGCATTGCAGTGTCAACAACCACTTCTGCTCTTCAGAGACTTCAGCTTTGGAGCATTGAGGCTTTGTTCTCCAAGAACTGGGATATCCATTCTCACCCTGCGGTGGCTCGATGCCTTTCTGAGCGAGAGGAAGTGTGGAGTGACTCAGCGGTGGTCTCCATTCAGCAAAACCTCATGTATATTTGGAAGTGGAACCACAAAGTGTGCTTTTGAGACTCACAAACACTGTGTTTTCCTATCTTAGGATTTCTTTTACCCCTAAAGTATCATGGAAGATACTATGGTTTGTGACTTTTCTTGCTAACTGGAAAGCCAAGGATTTGGGTGTGGGAGTCGTCTGCAAGACACAGTGGGAATAAGGTGCGCACCCCTGCCCCTTCCTGTTCTCATACGGCAGTTACATTTTACACAAAACCCCATGCAGGGTTCTGTGTGGTAAGTACCACATATGTGGTAAGGACCTTAGTTGCAGATTGTTATTTTCTAGTGACCTATGTTGCATTAGAAGCCCCAAAACTTGAAATTGTGAACATTTAACATGCAGTAAAGGCCACTCATCACCCCAGAGAAATCTTTGGCTGCTGCAGCTGGCCGCTCTGGCTGTGATGTAGTATGGCTTGATCTCATTTTGTGTTTGAGGGAGAATGTTCTGGGCAGGATTCTGTGTGTGGTGGGTTGGGCGGAGTGATCTTGAGTTTTCACGTCCCTGTGGTGACCGTGCGGACTGTCGCTCTGTGGGACCCCAGCTCCCAGTTCTCCTTGGTGACGGGAGCCGGCTGCATCTTGTGAGTCGTGTCTGTGCATGGCGATCTCGCTCCTCCCAGCTCTCATGGCATTGTGCCACAGGCTGAAGCCAGGAGGAGCAGTATGTGCAAGCCCAAACATTTTACATTTGTTTTCTTTTTAACCAACTCATTGTTTAAAAAAAAACAAAAAAAAACACCTAATCTATTGAAATCAATGTACCATGTCCGGAACATCAGGAATATGCAGAAGTCTGATACGGTCTAGACAGCTTCACCACTAATTTTGTAGACAGTAAACACACACATATAATTTATTAGCTGGGAAGCTGAACTGGCTGTGAAATCTATGATTTACTTTGAACATTTGGGTTTTGTTGCCTTCTTCTTAATTGATAACACAGAAAGTACCATCAAAGACTGTGGAGTCATTGAGGGTTCTGTGTGTCCCTCTGAGAGAGGGACCTGGTGTGCCCGCCGGGTTGATCTTCCCACATGTTAGGGTTTATTTTTATACAACACATCTTTTGACTTCAAGGTGGGTGTGTGTGTGTGTGTGTGTGCATATATATGGAGTTTATGTTGCTGTTATTTATTTACAAACTTCAGATATGTTTTATGTATTTTCATTCTTCTGGAGCTTCCTAAAATTGATAAGCATCTGCACTGAAATATAATTTAACAACAAAGATAAAAAAGTTAAGTTGTAAATTCCTCCTTATCACTACAGTGACGATTATTCTAGAAATCGTTGCTTATGTAGCAAAGACCAAATAAATCGATTTCAGACACAACCTTGAGCACAGTTGATTTTGGACAGCTGCTGTTTATTGGGGAAGGAGCTCAGGTGGCGAGAAGGTGCACACTTCCTCAGATGCGCGTGAGAAGATGTAGCACCTTCCACGGAGTGAATGGGGCCAGTTCAGAAGTGAGCAAAGGGATTCACAAATTATGTATTTATTTGTTTTCATAGTTAAGTAGCTGAAGCTCAGAGGCTTTCAGCAACAGAGATGAAAGTGTAGTTTTAGTTTTTGTGAATGGATGATCTGAAAAAAGCATTTTTAAAGTTAATAATGAGCACTGTGGTATGACGCATTGCATTTCCATTAGCACTGCAGCACCAGGTTTCCATTCCTGGGCTGAGTTACTCCCGTGGTTGTATTGTTCTGATTCCACGTTCACCAGAGTAACTGATTCTTTTTGTTTTCTTGTGGAGTTAACACCAAATAAAAATTGTAAAAAACAGTTTGTTGTTTTATTTCTCATATCGCTTCTTTTGTAAAAACTCCAGCTTCCTTTCACTCGTGAGCATCCGTGGAAGAGTGAGGGCCCAGGTTACATTTGTTCTAGATGGAGTCTGTTTAGCTCTCCTTGCAGACGCTGCTGAACACATTGTGCAGCTTTGCTAGGGGAGAAAGTGGTGTGACCTGCTGAGAAATGAGTAACCCTCCCCATCTCAGCCAGCACTGCGCAGACTGCTGCCAAGTCTGCAAAACACAGAGCATTTTTGTCCGTGGGGTACACAAGCTCCATCTTGTTTTCTTCTGGGAAAAAGTAAATCTTCATATATTAATATGATTGATATTCATTGTGGAAAAATCAGTGTGTTTTCAAAAAGTCTAAGGGAAAGAGGAAAGCCGTGTCCTTCTGTCTCCTGAGACATTCGCTGGTAACATCTGTGCAAGCCCCTTTCCAGGCTGGTGAATGTACAGTATATATGAATGCATACAGAGAGAAATGTACATTAAAGAGTATACTATACTTGTTCTTCTATAACATCAGAAATGAGTTTTACTCAGATGTCTTTTCATGTCAGGGAATTAGAACTACATAATTATTTTATAAGCTGTATTATGTAGACTTAACAGGTTCCTCATTGATAAAACAATGTTTTTAGACTGTTTATTCCAGTATCTGAATAACGTTTCTATGGACATCCGTAAACATGTTTGAGGGACTTTTAAAGTTCATGGAAGAGTAAATTAAAAGAAAAGTAAAAAAATATAAACTTTTATTTCTCAACATAAGTTCCATCAAGTTCAGAATCGACTATAAGACATAATACCATAATAGCAACCATTAGTCTATCCCTAAAGAACTGAGGGTCCTGGAAATTTCCTGTGGCAGTGCAGTCTCTATGTTGTGAACTGAAGAAAATGGGTGCCCTTTACAGACTTTCCAGATTAGGAAACAAAGTCAGAAGAAGCCCAGTCAGGACTGTAAAGTGGATGCCTTATGATTTCCCATGGAAACGCAGCAAATAGCTCTAATTTGCTGAGAGGAATGAGCAGAACACTGTCGTGGTGGAAAGGACTCTGGTGAAACTTCCTAGGCATTGTTCTGCACGGCTTTGGTTAACTTTCTCAAACACTCATAATCTCAGCTTACTCTTTAGGCATCTAGAAAGTCAACACACACACACACACACACACACACACACACACACACACACAGTGCCTTAGACATCCCAGAAAACTGTTGCCCGGCTTCTGCTTTTGACCAGTCTGCATTTGCTACGAGGGAGACCCCTCCCTCTTGGTAGCCAGTGCTGTGATCACAATCATGTTCAGGATTGTGCTGGTAAAGCCATGTTCCATCTCCTGTTATAGTTCTCAGAGGAAATGCTTTAGGATCTTGATTCCTCTTGTTGAAAATTTCCCTTGAAAGCTCTGCTCCTGTCTCCAGCTGATCTGAGTGCAATGGTTTGGTAACCATTGGTGTAGTCAATGCTCAAGGTGAAACTTTTCCGTCAGATTGTGTAAGCTGAACCATGTGACATGTAAGTGTGTGATGTTCATAAATGTTGTATCTTGATTAAGGCGACAGAATGTTTTTCTCATGGATGGACATGAGAGATATAAATGCTTTGTTGTCTCATCATTTGCAATGGGATATTGGCCTTTGGTTTGACCCAGAGCAGCTGTCCCCATAAGCTTTTTGCCAAAAAAAAAAGAATTTGAGCCAGGTAAAGGAGTGGCTCATGCCTGTATTTCCAGCACTTTGGGAGGCCGAGGTGGGCGGATCATGAAGTCAGGAGATCAAGACCATCCTGGCCAACATGGTGAAACCCTGTCTACTAAAAATGCAAAAAAAAAAATTTAGCCAGGCGTGGTGGCGGGCGCCTGTGATCCCAGCTACTCAGGAGGCTGAGGCAAGAGAATTGCTTGAACCTGGGAGGCGGAGGCTGCAGTGGCAGGCCGAGATCGCGCTGCTGCCTCCTTCCTAAGCAACAGAGCAAGACTCGTTTCAAAAAAGAAATCATTGATTTCACCATTCTTCCACCCAAGTATCACCATAGGTTTGATGTTCTTGCTTCAATCTGTAGCAAATTCCCATGTTGCTCCTGATAGCTGCTCTCTTCAAACAGTCGTACTCTTCTTAGTGCCTCAAACTAGATCTTGTTAAGACATGTTATAAGAAGTTCGTACAAGTTTATTTTTGCAAAAATTTTGCAAATCTGTGCATAGCTATTTTTGGAGACAGTCTCACTGTGTCACTGAGGCTGGAGTGCAGTGGCGTGATCACTAATCTCAAACTCCTGGGCTCAAGTGATCCTCCTGCCTCAGCCTCCCTAATAGCTGGGACTTGAAGCACACCTCACCATGCCCAGCCCATTTTTAAATTTTTTGTGGGAACAGGGTTGCCCAGATTGGTCTCAATTACTTGGCCCCAATCCATGCCCACCTCAGTCTCCCCAAAGTGCTGGGATTACAGGCTGAGCCATTGCACCTGGCAATAATAGCATAGGCCCTAAAGGATGCTGTTGTCCCACCACCCCAATACCATTTTTAAAGTCCTTACCCCACTAGTGTGAGTGCAGTGGTGTCATCTTGGCTCACTGCAGCCTCCACCTCCTGGAGCTCAGGCAATCCTCCTATCTCAGGCCAGGAATTCTGACATCACAGTTAAGT